AGCACCGGGAGTTTGTTGGAGCTCATCAATGCAAGAAACTGGACGACCGGCCAGCTGCCGTCACCGTCCGGGGCACCGAACTGAACTGAACACTGCTTGAGCTCGGCTGAAGTAAAAATGGGAAACAGGATCTCATCTCACCAAGTTGGCCGGTGAATTGTTAGACGTGCTTGTTAAACTACGTCATTGACATCATTGCGTCAATAACATGTGAATGCATATATTCGTATCTTCTGAATCCCTTATGCTGGGGATGTTTGACATCTTTTGTTTCCTAGGATCGACTAAAGCATATATACGAAGATAACCGTAGGTGTCGGTATTTATAGAAATCTTTTAGGTTCACGTGGATTCGGTTCCAGATCAGGTCAATTCTGGTTGCACCGAACTGAGCTTTGACTAGGAACACACCTGGTTTCAAAAATGATGTGATGACACGATTTATCTCTCCAACTTCTAAATTCGGTGTCTTCAGAGTGCCAAATAATTTAAAAAAGCGTATATCTTCTAAGTCAATTTCACTTCGTTTGTATATTTTTAATTTTATACGGTCAGTTCCTGAGTCGATTCCGTTGATGCTTCCCACGATGACCACCCATGCGCAACGTCCAGCGTTAAGGATGGTAAGGTTTGACAGCCACTTCTGATTCCAACTTCCTTATACGGCTCGTGTCTGTCTCTTTGGGATGTGGAGCTCCAAGTCTGCAGTTAACCCCGGTGACGAAATTGCCGTTCTAAACACTAGTGAAAAGCAACCTCTGAGCATCATCACGGTAGATGGGAAAATATTCTCAAACCACGTAAGAAGATAAGGGTAATAGATTATACAAGTAGCTGACAGATAATCCAGAAGACAACACCCTATATATATATATATATATATAATACGGGATTGAGGACAAGCTTGGTTTCAGTTCAATTCAGTTTGTGCAGCCATTAACCTTCGTGCGGCGGTTTTGGTTGGTCTTTTGGCTGCCCATTTGAATGAAGAGTAGTAGAAAACAGGAAGGTTGGAAGTAGAGTCGAACAGAAAACGGAGAAGTTCAGTGGTCTAGGGTTGCAAAGAAATTGAAAAGATGCACGAACGCCACTGTTTACGACACAGCCATATCACTTAGTGTCTCTAACCATCGGTTACAATCATCCCGAGGTCCCCATTCAGGGAGCCTAACGCTTAGGAATTTCATACCCTCGTGCCCTGTCTTAGGTTGACCATCCTTGGCTTCATTTCACCCACTACCTGCCTCGGCAAACATCGCGCGCCGTGGCAACCTATTTCGTGACATGCGTGACATGTCACAACCGGCGTAACTTATGCAGGCCAACCACTTGCTCCAGTGGGCGACCGCGGTTACCCAAAACTCTGCGTCTAACCTCAGCGTTGTTCGTCCGGCTGTCCCATCAGATTCGTGCAATGCTGCGTAGACAGCGGTATTCAAACACCAACAATCTGTCTTTATCCTGTTTTCTTAATGGTCAAGTTTCTGTGTCGTACTACTGAACTGGCCGAACTGCTGCAGTATACACTGGACCCTTAACAGACAACCGGATGTCGCGACGGAGCCACAAATGCCAAGTGAGCCTTCTGTATGCGAGCTGACACTTCATCCGCGATGCGTCTACCGGCTGAGATGTAGCCCAAATAACAAAACTTATCCACCTGCTCTATTACTCCAGTAAGAGTGAGGTTGGGTGCTGGACCAACCCAGTCTGGTAGCAAAATTTTACACTTTGAAGGTGCAAAATGCATACCGAACATGACTACACTGACACTCAAGCTATCCAGAAAAGCTTGCAATTTACCTGCATCTTCGCTTAGCAGCACAATCTCGTCCGAATACTCCAGATCAGACAGTCTGCCAACTGGAAGTAAATCGATGCCGCTATTCGCGCACGAGGATAGGGCTGTTTCCGTAATCAAATCTATAACAAAGTTAAATAGAAAAGGAGAGGGAGGGCAGCCCTGACGAACACCACTTTCCGTGATGAACTCGAGCGAACAAGTACCGTAAGCCTGAACTCGACTTCGGCTATTAGTATAAAGGGGTTGTAACCTTGAGATCAACTTCTCGGGCATACTCTTCAGGGAAAGGCAGTACCAGAGTTTAGAGCGGTCGACTGAGTCGAAAGCCGTTTTCAGATCGAGGAAGACAGAGATGATGGGTCTGCGAAAAGAATGTCGGTGCTCCGGAATTTGGCGAAGATGCGGTCGATATAACCTCGACCAGGTCTCACGCGTGCACTCTTCAAGTGCGGCTGACAAACCTCCATTTCAGATGGAGGACTAGCATCAACTGGAGGGTAGGGGGGGGGGTAGATGTCGATGGGGACCAGTTGAACTGGGTCTTGAAGTGTTCAGCCTATTGATCAAGTTGGCGTTGGTGATCGTGAACCAGTGTGCCATCGGATTCCTCAATTACCTCACGCCTATTTTCCTGGGGCCCGTATTCCTAATTAGACGGAAAAGGTTGCGGCTATTACCAATAACCGCAGCTCTCTCCATCTCTTTACACTTTTCTACTCACCGCTTCTCGCGGTCATTCCTCAGACTCTTGATGAGCTGGTGTCTGAGGGATTTGCGGGCTGTGTCATATGTGGCATCGGGAGGGAGGGTTCTGCGGGCGTCCAATAGGGCAGCTGAGGTCGACGAGACTCCTCGTTTGTGTTTTGAGCCTGCGCCAGGGTCCGACGTTGTTTTTATTGATGTTTGCATAGCTTCATTGATTAGCTTCCAATGTTCATTGAGTCCTTTGGCTGGTTGATTTGGTGGTTGAACTGAAAAGCGATCGGAGAGCTCCGCTTCGAAGACCGATTTGTAACAATCGCGGACGTTGTATCGTGGCCATCCGTTTTCGGTGGCTTTCTTGCAGTTGTTTGCTAGGCGTAAGGAGAATTTGGATCGTAACGAGGCGAAGCCTGTATCCACAGGTGTTGACAAGTAAGAGCGGCAGTCTTGAATCGAGCCCCTCCAGCGATGGCTGATGGCGATGTGGTCGATTTGGGTCCAGCGTTGTGCAGCGGTTGGCGGTTTCCATGTAAGGCGGTGTCGTTTCTTGTGCGAGACGGAACAATCCGTGGTCCGCGCAGAGTTCAAGTAGGCGAATTCCGTTGTCCGTCGGGTTGGCCGTGATTGCATATGGTACAACAAGAAGCTTTTCTGATTCTTCCAGGGATCCCACCTGAGCATTGAAGTCCGGCGACTACTACGACGTCCGTTGATCGAACACTTTGGAGTAATCGAGAAAGATCCTTGTAGAATATCTTTGATTTCATGTGTACTGCAATCGGTCGGTGCATACACCGATACGACGAAAAAGCATCGACGCTCCATTCTGTAACCGTTGACCCGTGCTGAACCGTTGAGATGTATAGCGCGTCAGTCGGCTACTAACTAGAATCCAGTCAAGAAACGAACACAGTCTTGGCACTTATCGCAGTCCAAACACCATCGACACCGCGGGCTTCGGACGTCGATTCGCCTGACACACGAAGAGTAAAGCATGTGGTTGTGGTTGGATCAGGAGAACGCGGGGAGATAATGGAAGTGTGGTCTTGTATGCGTGTTTCGGAGACACAACATACATCTAAATTAAAAGTTTCAAGGGTTCTAGCGAACGCAGCTTGCTGACCAATCTGGTAGAGTGTGCGAACATTGAACGCGGCTAAGTGACAAGGGGAATACAAATCCTATAAATTCTGATTGTCTGGCCTTGCTTGTAAAACGCTGATTGATATTCGATGGGTGGCGTAAACAGGACGCATCTGGGATTATTCGGGATTAAGAAGAACTGGGCAGGTGGGAGAAATGGTTTCCAAATGGGTGCCTAAGACTTGAGGGCACGACATACTTCGCGTCAGCCTACACCGACGAAGGGTCTTTTCTTTGGGAACCCTAACCGGAGCCTTCGACTCAAAAGTCTGACCCACAAGGTAGTGGGGCGTAAATCCAACGCGGGAGAGTGAACAGAGGACCTGTGTGGGGGCTTCTAGAGACCTGTCACGCAAGGCCTTTGAATTTCGATTAATTGTGTCGTTCGTTGGTTCATTGATTGTCGGTCCTTAGCCTCATGCACCCAGTGAGACAAACGGAACGCGGACGGGACAGCACCTTATTGGCTGGGGGCTGCCCAGCTTGGGCGGGCGGTGGCTGTCCAGTGAAGTGCGAAGACTTCTCCCACCTTCGAGAGGAAGCCCCAGGTACCCCGCTCCTACATCCATCGAGGTTTTTTGACCGATAAACTACCCTTCACCGTGTTTATTTGCTGGAGTGACCTCTCCAGGGACGGATGTGGAAAGAAGGAAGGAAACCAGAATGTGCCCAAGCAACTATCTTCGTGAGACTGAGCTCCGTCTGGCTTCTACCCGTTGACCTTTCAGGCACGATTAGATCTAGGACTGTGAAAAGCCATCCTGTGTAGCTCACAGGGTCATGAAGGCACGTAAGCCGTCACACCACGTCAAGGTGCAGTCTCGTTGTGATGGGACAAGCTTGGTTCGAACGCAACAATGATAAAAAGGTAAAAAGGGGAATAAATGATTAAATGTAAAGCATGTTGCTTTTGACAATGCCGTTGGCGACGGTTCGGAACCGGTAGTAATGCACTGACCCCAAGTGTCTACGCATCTGACGTTCCGGCAAACAACGTGAAGAGATTCTGATGTTTCGATGTTTCCCGACCATAGTGAGGATACTTACTGTCCAAGTCACTTTCCAGGGACGCCATAACTGTAAACCTTTTCTGCAGTCGTAATCTGCTGCTAATAGTCGCACTCTACAGTTAGATATCTAAAATCGGATTCTGTCTTTTCGCACGCCGTTTTGCATCACATTCCATACCAATTCCCGTTTGCATCTATTTTTATGTGCTCCAATAAAGTGTTGGGTTTCTGGTTTGCCTAGGAAGTTACTAAAGTTCGCTTCCTCTCACCAAGCAGCAGTGTTTCCTACCAGTTGTCGCACATATCTAAAATGACGTTATCCATATTGTCCCGTACCGCTTTATAGGATTGTTTAGCTCCTCTCACCATGCAAGGTCTCCCATCAACACCAGAGTCACTTTGTATCGTTGAAATGGGAGTTGGCGAGCTATCATCTGGAACTGATGCGAACGACAATGAAGTTGCTCACGCAGGTGGGATACTGTACTTGAATATCGGTTTGGTGAATGGAGTACTTCTGCGTGTCATTCTCGACCCGGTTACTGGTGAGCTTTCCGACACACGCACTCGTTACTTGGGTACTCGCCCGGTAAAACTTTTCCGAATCATGATGCAAGGCGGAGAGGCGGTCTTATCGGTTTCGAGCCGATCGTGGCTGAGTTACGCCTATCAGAATCGATTTCACCTCATCCCATTGTCGTACGAGGCATTAGAATATGCATCCGGATTTTCCTCCGAGCAATGTCCTGAGGGGATTGTGGCAATTTGTGACAATTCACTGCGGTAATTCAACTCTAATACCTCGCATCACTGATCTATGACCATTATTATCTACTCTTGTTTGCAACACTTTGCATAAATTCGCAGACTGTCTTTGCATGCGTACGTCTTTCCTGAATTCACCATTCTCGAAAACCCTAATCTACGGCATGCGATTATAGGTATTCTTCCCCAGTGATTGTTTTTACATGCTCTCATGCGGCCAGAATGGGACAAACTTCATGATGCTGTCCTACTTCCTTAAGCGTTTATAAAAATTTCAGTGTGGTGTTATCAGCAAGAACGATGTAGTTGGCTTTCTTTTTTACAAACACTGATGCTTGTGATACTATTGTCACCAGGTAACCGCTGATGAAGAGCGTTGTCCTCATTCTAGAGCTATTCGAACTTGGATAATCCAATTTTCCGAGCTCAGCTGCTCCTTGCTCTCACATACACCTACGTAAACATCCTTCTGTTATTTATACCTTGACTAGAGGACGTTGTCGATTAGACTTCCTTAGGCTTACGATTAGGAATGTCGACGTGAACCTAATCAAGGGTTAGACAGATTGAATGCTTTCAACACTGAAGTTCGTGAATCTTCTCGATTTCCGCATGTCTAGTTTGCCTGTAATTCGTATCTTTACCATGGTTCTGCTATTAGCTCTTTGTACCCATTGGTAGACCACATGGGTTACCAAAAGACAGCATTATCGGCACGTAAAAGTTCTTTTTGCGTGTGTTCAAATAAACTGAAATTGAGAGATGAATTATATCGGGAGTGAATGTTGTTCTTATTTGCTTTTAAAATTTCGTGTTTCTGGTATGTCACTAACCAATGAATCCGTCAACCCCAACAGGATCATGGCTCTGGAAAAGCTTGGAGCTGTTTTCAATCAAACAAGTTATCCTCTTCAATACACTCCAAGAAAAATGACTTTTCACCCGGAGTCCAATCTCGCTTATATAATCGAAACAGATCACAACTCTTACACGGACGAGGTCAAAGCTGCTAGGAAGCGTCAAATGAGTGAAGTAAGATCACAAAACCTATTCTTTGTAACACTAGATCAAGCTAAATACTCTGAAAACCAATGCCATAATTCCAACTTCATACAGTGAAATATGCTATTGTGAAGTTCATCTGTGAGGTCAAGCTGTGTAATGGGTTTAGGTTGCTCAGTTTTTTGAAAATCGAAAGATTTGATGAACTATTTTCGCATCTTTCAACTTGATTTTATCTCCATAATTTTTATCTTGATTTATTTGTTGTTTGGCTGGTAGAGAATGATTGCCGCGGCATCCGGTGGTACTCCAGAGGAACTCGCGATGGCAAGGGAATCAGCAGCAGCCTTTCTGGATGAAAATTTACCTGAATGTATTTTCGGCGCACCCAAAGCTGGTCCAGGCATGTGGGCCAGTTTATTACGTTGCCTCAATCCGTTAGACGGGACAACGTTGAATGTTATACATTTTCCACAAAACGAGGCTGCGCATGCGCTCGCCCTCGTCAGGTTCGCTAATCGGTGAGTTTTATCCTCGTGTTGGGTCTTTCCTAGCTCTCTCTGTTCTGTTTAAATTCCTCAGTCGGTGGTATTGCATTCGAAAGTGCTTGTTTTCTTTTTCGTGTTGCCGCCATAACATCTGTCTCCTAAGTGGAGAGTGTTCATCGCCGTGGTTCGTAGTGTTTTGCAGTTGCGGGATCTGATCCCTCCACGTAGAAGATGCGAAACGACTTTCTGCATTCGACCACCGATGTTTGTGGAGCAGTGCTCGTGTCTGGTGAGAAAATTGTGTAAGCAATATCGAGGTTCGTCGTCCTGTATTGGGCGATAGTTTTTCCCCAAAATAAGTACTCACTACACCACCTCTGATCGCTTGATCGCGTTTTGCTTATGCCCGCCCATCGTCTACCTTTCCGTGCTTTTGTAGTTTTGGATTTGGCTTCGGTTGGCATAGCCCACCTTTCCGTTTGGGGCCCAGGGGATGAGGGCTGTCGTTGGTTAGGGATATAGAGATGTGACTCAGAAAAGAAGTCAGTGGGGCGGTCGCTGTCATTATCATAATCATCGTACAGTGAAATACAATGAAGCGGAATTCACTCATCGTTTCCAAACTCGCAGTGCACACAAGAGTAGTGGTAATAGATAAGGTGGACTGGGGTTGGACCTACTTTGAGTGAAGGAGAAGATAGTGAACCTCTATGGTCAATACCGAGTGCACAATCCAATTCTGCATACATACCGTTTCAAGCATTGTGGCTTGATAAGAAATGACAACAAGAACGCCACTGCTGTAGGTTCACTGCTGTATCCTTCAATGCCTCCAATCAACCATCTGCGGAATCTTTCGAACCCAAACCTGGAAAATGCGTGATACCTACTCTATCTAGCTCTGTACATTTCTTCATAACTCGTCTCCAGTGAAGCTGAAGTCAGCCCGACACCCGCGACACGAGCACGAAATGGCAGTCAATGGACAGGCGTACACCATACGCGACCAAGCCATCGGACAGGGTGTAGAGAGATTATTTCCGTTAGAGAACAACTATTGGGATGAGGCTTATACACTATAATTATCGCAGTGATTGCGCGGACCCTTTCTGAAGATAGGGACGACAATCAATTCCTCCCACAAGGAGGGGGCTTGCTCAGTGTCTCAAACTTTAGAGAACAGGACATGGAGTTTTCTAACAAGCTTTATTCCACCATCTTCAAACAGAGCGGGAGGAAGGTCATCGAAGCTCCGCGCTTTGTGATGTCCCAAGGCTTGGATCTCCTTACGGTTTTCTGCCTCAGAAGGTGGGTGTGTTGAAACAGATCATGGGACCTGTGCCGGAATCGCTGTGTGAGAAGCTGGCGCTGGTGCCCAGCTAAATTGTGCTTTGAGGTTCTCCACCCAGAGTGCAAGGTGTCGCTGTTGATTATGAATGGGCGAACTGTCTGCTTCCCAGATCGTTTCGCTCACACCCAAGGCTTTCCCACCGGTGACCCGGATGAGATGGAACAGCTTACGGGAATTACTTATGGCGGTAGCACGTTCCACCTCTGAGTCTGCCAGACCTCGCGGTTTCTGCGTAGGCTTGTATTAGGTTCACGTCTCTTAGCGATTTGTGTTTCATTATGCTCGCTGTCGGTCGGAATTGATCGACGTGTGTCAATAAGGCGTAGAGGTTCCGCAGAGATCCAGGGTGTCACGACACGGCGTGTCAGACCACAACTACCTAAGCCAGTGAAATGCAGAGCATTCTTCATAAGTGACCAGTGCTGATTGATGGGTGGGGTTGGTTCTAGCTTTTCAGCTGGCGCGTTCTGGAAAACAGTTAGACAAGCTGGTTTGGTCAACCTATCACAGTCTAACGGTCGTTGTGTCGCGCGTTTGGAACGCCCACCGAAGCACATGGACAGCTTGGTGCATACTAATGCATGGTCGGATTCGAAGGGAGTGCTCCAGTACGATCGGCAGTCTTGAATGCAGCCCCGCCATTTTGGGCTTATCGCGATGTGGTCGATCTGCGTCCGTCGCTTACTCGAGGAGGGTGGACGCCACGTGGTGTAACGGCAGTTGGAGCGTCTGAAGTTCGTACTGGCGAGGAATAGGCGGTGGTCTGAACATAGAGCAAGCAGCCGTTCCCCGTTTTCCGAGCGACAAGAATCTAGTCCGAAAGGACCTCCCAGGTGCGCCTCACTCGAAGTCAACCGGCCTACTCTAGCATTCATATCTGCTAAAATCACGATATCAGCCGGATTCGCCTTACACAAGAGGTCGTGTAGCTTTTGGTAGAAAATATCTTTGACTGTATCTGGGCTACAGTTCGTAGGTGCGTACACTGAGACGACAAACAAGTTGCGCCTTTCGAAGCGACGACTATTTACTTTGCACGAGCCTCTAAGTCTCACTGCGCATAACCTACTGGGATCCAATCCAGGAGCGCGGTTTCAGCTCTCTCACTGAGAGCCACGCCAACGCCAGCAGGACCAGAAGTCGCAGCCTCAGGGTCCCAGAAAGACGCAGGTGAAACTTCGCGGATGGGTTTGACGAGGACGTCAATCGGATGGCGGAGCTAGAGTCTTGAATGTGAGTCTCTTGGATACAACACACATCGATGTCTAGGGTCTCGAGGGTATAAGCTAAACACGCCTGATGTCCTATACGCATCAAGGTACACATGTTTTGGTGGTAGGCAGCTCTGCTTTCGTTCTAACCTATCGGGGCCTTATGTGGTTCGCCACTCCATGTTCCGGGGCTTAGGTTGCCGATTTCAACCACTGAACAGCAGGTCCTCTTGACTATGGGGTTTATCCCGTCTGCTGTTCATCACACCTAGGTGTGTAATAAAAACGTGGCTAGTTTGAATGGGTATCGATGTTGAAGAAGAGCTTCAACTGGTGGAGGTAGATTCGGTGGGACTTGAACGCTATTCGAAGCAGGACGCGAGAGAAAAGGGACGGAATTTCCATCGAAGGCTGCTTTCAGGTCAAGGAACACTGCGATCGTTGGTCGACGGTGAGTATGACGCAGCTCAAATATCTGACGCAACGTAAAAATCCGATCAATACATCCACGGCCAGGCCGGAATCCGGCTTGCTGTTCACGGATATTGATCTCTCTTAAACGAGTCAGACGTCGAAGTATAACCGAAGCTGGCACTTTGGTGACCATCGGGATCAAACTTATCCCGCGGTGGTTTTCGCAATTGTTGCGGGATCCTTTCTTGAAAATGGGAACGATCAGTGATTCACCCCAAGATGAAGGAATGTTCTCTTGCATCCAAATATTGCGCAGTAGGATAGTAATAGAGGTTACGAGGTTATCACCTCCCATCTTGAAAAGGGTGGGAGGGAGCTCATTAGGTCCTGCTGCCTTTCCTCGCTTCAGAGCTTGAATGCAAGACCGAACTTCTGCTTCCGTTGGAGGATCGCATGACACTGCCCACGGAACTTCAGTCGGAGATGAAGCAGCCTGGTTAGCACTAGGCCAGCTGGACTGTTCATTGAAGTATTCTGCCCAGCGATCGAGTCGTTGATCCTTATTGTGAATAGCTCGTCCCCTCTTATCGCAGACTGTTTCACTAACTGTGGTTCGCCAACCTCCCGTATTGCGTATCAGTCGGAACAGTCTTTGACAATTCTCTGACGCAGCTGCTTCTTCCGTTTCACTAGCTATTGTTGCCCACCAGTTCTCACTGTCCTTCTTGAGACTCTTCATGAGCCGACGTTGTAGCTGCCGCCTAACTCTATTTTGATCCTGGCAGGTCGGGACTTGCCGTTTTTGCTCCATCAAGGCTACTGACTCCTGAGATATCCAATGGTTCCGATGGGTTTGAAGCTCAAACCCACAAGCAACATTCGCTGCGGAATCGTTGCTCGCCTAATCTGATCCCACTGCTCGTCTATATCACCACACTGAAGCGCACTTGGCTTACGCACTAGCTCTGACTCATAGCCTGCACGGACGGCTGGGGCAGGTGGTCGTTGATGAGCTTGCTGGTTTTGTCACCGACCAGTCAGTCGGAGAGTGAACTTCATCAGAACTAATTCGTGGTCAGACTCAATGCAGTTGGTCCAATAAGACCTGCAATTGTGTACTGAGCCACGCCAACGGTAATGTAGTCGATTTGAGTTAGCGTACCAGTTGAAGTGGAGCACCACGTTGCCGTCCCTCGAGAGCTATGTCGGAAGTTGGTGCTTGATAGGAACAGATGATGGTCTGCGCAGATCTGAAAAAGTAGATCGCCGTTATCTGTCCGATGGCTGGACAGAGCACAACTACCGCCTGGACAAGCTTCTGATGCGCTCAGTTTTCCAACTTGCGCGTTGAAGTCACCTGCTGGCACAACTATGTCGGAGCTTCGACTGATCCGAATGGGAACTGTGAGTTCATCGTAGAAAGCGTCCTTTGGGGTATCAGAACTGTAATTGGTCAGTGCATATGCTGATGGGATGGACAAACACCTTGTGTTGCTTCCCTTCCGGATGCTGATTGAACCCTGGATACGCACTGCACATAGACGACTGTTGACGGGGATCCAATCGATAGTAGAGGGCTCCACCCTATTAGTACAATACCTACCCCGCGCTGGCCTACTGAACGAGCTTCATCGTCGCCTGATGTGCTAAGAACGTGTCTCGTCGATAAATCTGGCGCGCTCAAGTGGCTTAGAGTAGTAGGATCCTGGATCCGAGTTTCCGACCCGCAGCAAATATCGATTCCTAAGGATTCCATTGTACGAGCCAGACAAGCTTGTTGACCTAGCTGCATCAAAGTCCTCTCGTTGAAGGCCCCCAGATTCAGTGATTGACGAGGCTTTAGAATCTGGAATCCATTCTGTTGTAAATCACTTAGTGCTATTTGGCAACGACCTTAGGCGAGCGACATCCAAGTTTCTTGAGGGACAATTACAGGTCGGTAGAAGGGGTAAAGGGAGAGGGTTGAGAACGGAAGACAAAGAGTTAAACAAAGGTTGGGATATCTGAGCAGTAGCCCACCTATCACTACCCACCCCGCTCGATGCAACGGGCAGCGCGGTCCTGATTATCCTGCGCGACGACCGATGCAGTATGAAATTATTTTTAATTTGTGTATGCATTGGGGCTTGGTGGACGGGTACTGCTAGGGCGTCCAACCACTGAGCAGGAGAACGATTAGGGTTCCCATCCAAAGCCTGTAGTTCTAAGAAGAACCGAACCGCAAGGCAGCGGTTGAAGCGAAGTGGAGGCCCGTTCACTTGGATCAAGTACTCCTCCGCTTTTTATCGACTGAAACGCTAAATTCCAGGCGAACCCCCAACCTGAAGGACCAGGAGACTGAACTTCGTCTGACCTTTACCCACTGACTTTCCAGGCATGATGAGATCTCTTGGCTTTATAAAACCATCCTGTGTAGCTCGTTGGGTCACAGAGGTGCACAAGCCATCACACCACGTCAAGATGTAGTCTCGTCGTGATGGATGGGATTTTGACTTGTCACCAATCTCTTACACCTCACGAAATGCTCGCATACGACCAAGCGTCTGAAATAGCCTTTGATGAGGAAACCCTACTCACTGCCTTCCCGTGGCGGGTGTTTTCCCACAAAAGTGAGAGGCCAAAAAACCAACATGTGGGGCCATAACCGGGTTGGTGAACCGGTAGAAGTTCACCTAAGGGTGTTGGCTAAAAGCCCTGATTCCAAATCAACCAAGAAGAGGCGTACGAACCACGCGGCAGTGGTCACCGGCTCAGTTGGCCATCAAGGTGTATTAGGCACCTTGGACACTTGGCCCCATCCAAAAGGCGTATTACCTAAGGAACCGGCCCCTAATGGATTTCGGACTCCGTATTGTTATTTTGCAGTTATGGCTTTCTAGCCAAAGGCTTCGGCTAGGGTCCCTGAGGTTATCCCCCTTCCCCAGGTAGGGCAACCGGGAAGTAACATGCCCACAATTTATTAATTCTTCAGAGTTTTTGTTCATATGTTGTGGCCCATTTGCCAGTAATTGGTTACATGTTGAAATAAGCGGGAGTACGCGACACCCAATCTTAGCATCACTTAGCA